AGATATATATGGAGAGGCAGTATCTTATTACGCGTAAAAGTAGAACGCACCACGCGCCAAGCTCATAAAATAGCGTTAAATGTTCCTGCTAGAAAAGCCGAAAGCACGTCTCTCTCTTTCTCCCTCTCTCTTTCTCTCTCTCTCCCTCATTTTTAAGCGCAAGGACTATCAGAGGGTGGACGTATTCAAATTGAATCTCATCTCGCCAAATTCCGCGCCGAATTACAAACCGCTCACAAAGGACAAGGGTTTTAGTATTCAATGTTGCGCCACGGTAACGATCGTCAAATCGTCCTCGCGCATCGGCGGTTATTGAATATTACTAAATAATTTCGGTGCGCGTAACGAGACGTGATTTACGGGCTCTTCTCTTTCCAGCGTTGGGGAAGAAGAGGAGATGGAGGGAGGAGAAAGAAGACGGTGGAGAAGCCAGGGTCTTACAACTTTGTACACGCACGTGTACATACCAGGCGGAAGCGACCTAGGATCACGAGAGTCTCTGCGCTCGATTGGAAGCAAGTTACTTTTATATCGTCACGATCGCGAGTCACGTACCGGTAACTTCGGGGGCTGACGCCCTTCGAAAAAGCCTCGAGCCCAAGTTTAAATATTCCTCGATACTTGGCGACCGTCCCCTTTAAACCTTTTATCCCGCCCGCTTTATAAACGACGCGGACGTACAACGTATACGGCGACGTTGCGAGCGCTCGGGAAAGCATTAACCCCCTTTTTTCGACCTATGTTTCGACCAAGCTCACTCTCTCGTTTTCCCGTTCTTCCTCTTTCTCTCTGTTTCTCTCTCCCATTCCGCGTATTTCGAAGACTTCTAGCCAATTTTAGCGAATTGAAGAGAGAGAAATATTTTCAAACGCGTCTCGATTTTTTCTTTCTTTTTTCTTCTTAGTCTTTCAAAGTCGAACCTAATTTAAGCTGCCCAAATCTCAAATTCCATACACACGGAAGACTATACCTACGTTCAAATAAATGTTCATTTCTATCATAACTAGTTTATACATCTGCAAATCTATCCTAAGTTCATCATAAATATCAAATTTATTCATATTACATTCTGAATTATAGTAAGTTTAGCATTTCAACCAAGAATATTAAATTAAAACAGAAATTTGATTTGCTTACGTAGGCCAAATTCATCTTGCATGCCTTCGCGCTGAGAGCATCATTCTATCTTTCTTCGGCGTGTAATGAGCGATAAAGATAGAATGATGCTTTCAGCACGACAGCATGCAAGACTAACTTAGCCATAGGAGTCAAATCGACTTCTGCTTTGATAAAGTTTTGTAATATTCTTATAAAGAGAATAAATTCTTCTTTTGAGTACATGATAATGCACTGAGAAAAAAAACACTTGAAAATTTATTCGCGGAAAAAGTTTATTTCGGAGGGAAAAACTTTATCTTTTTCTCGGTGTGAGCTTACCTGAAGTTCACGATGAATATATTTGGAAACAAAGAAAATATTATCAAGAAAATATTTTTTGTTGAAGATAATCATCACTTAGAAGAAGGAAAGTAAACTGAGTAATCGCCATTCTTGGCAGTAGAATGATACTTTTATGTGTGCAAGAATCTTTGAGGATCAAGACGCAGGTAGAAAGATACCGTGTCATTACATCGTTTATATTCGCAACGGGATTCATGACAATAGCGAAGCTCACGCAATATGAGGTTGCAAATGTGTACAAACGTTCGAACGAATCGCTTTTAGCTCGCGAATTTTGTAGGAAGCGAATGTCGTAGGAAAGTGGATTCGTGTCTTACGCGAATCCGTTGAATATTTTCATGAACGCCAGACTACACCGAATTTTAATCCTCTCCCTGCCCCCATCTCCACTCCTCTCTTTCTCTCTCTCTTTCGTTTTCTTTCTCTCTCGCGTGACACGGACTTAATTAATCATTCTCACGAACAACAGCGCGAGTATTACAATTCTTCGCGAGATAAAACACAAAGAATTACAGATGCACGAGTTTTCGTACAGCGACAAAGCGTATAGTTTGGTTTAACAAATGCACCTACAAAACCACCTCGGCGCGGCACGCAACGCAAATTCGCCGAAATAATAATGGGCCTGATGAAATAACAAATAACGAATGGGATTTTAATAGAGGCGCGAACGCAATACAAACTTTCGTGTTTGCCGAGATTAATTTGTAATTCGATTGCACGTACCGCGCATATTTTTATCAATATCTGCGGACGAACCATCACGACGGTGACGTTACTGCATTGTTTCACGAATAATAAATGCGGGAAAAACATATTCGCAAATAGGTTTGATTAATTTTGCGAACACGGCGCGACACGGCAGCCATGCAATTTTCGCGATACGAAGCTCGCGCGCGGCGGAACAATAAAGCTAGTTTACATGATTTGCGAGACGATACTGTAATAACATGGAAGCTCGACGCGGAGCTTGTATCTACTAAAACGCCAACCGTTAATTAATGCTTCCGAAGGCGGGCGGAAAGACAGCGGGAAGAATAGCAAAGGTCAAACGTAAATATCGGTTGTCACAATTTCAAATTATTTTCTCATATTGAGTCCGCACGAGAACTGGATTTTCTATTTTCATGCCGAATCCGAGCTTTAAATACGTCGCAAAAACTCGCGACAGTTGTTTCCTACTGTATGATCCTACGAGAAAAAAGATTGGACAAGCGAAAATCATCACTAACGAGCTACTACTTAAAAAGTTTTATAAACATTGAGCTTTTCAAGATATTGATAAACAAGAATAATCTAAAAAGATCCATTATCGAAACAAAGTTAAAACGTTCGTCGTGTTTGTCAAATAAAATGGTTAAAAGAAAGTAAAAAAATGAATAAAGAAATAAATAAATTGTAAAATACGTAGAAAGTTAAAATAGTTTTGTAAAAATTGTTTTATTACAAAATAAAATTATATTAAATTTTGAAGAAATCAATAATGCGGAGCATTGGTAATACAAAAGATTAATGCAATCAATAATTTCCCCCAATAAAATCGACATGGTATTTTTTAAACATCTAATTTCCTCTATTTCCCTCAATTTCCTAAGTTTTCTATTTTCCAATTTCCTACTTCTCAATTTTCTCATTTACTATTTCTACTATTTGGTTAATTCAATCAAATCTTTTTTTTCCGTGCAAAATCTCTTCATTTCTTATTTTTTAATATCCAAACTTCCTACGGGAATTTACTGGAAAAATGACAAATCTTTTGCACTAGTCCAATGTATGCATTTCTGAAAGCAGGCTGTCACACTTTTCCATTAAAGACACTCGTTATCGCGGGACGGATCGATCGGAAGTGAATACGTAGTACGGCGCGCATGCAACAGCTTGCATAGAGCGAATAATGACTTGCAGGTGCGCGGATCAAATCGGAGGATAATTAAAACCGACAGCGTAAGCTTGTGTACGCTCATCTTGCTTCGCATTTGGAGACTTGCCATCGTCCTGCTATAAACGGCAAGCCGCAACTTGTCGCGGAGCAGGAGCGACGCGCGAATAAATTGAACGAATCCTTCCGGCGCTATGCATCCGCACAATTTACGTATTATTTCGTTCGACTTAATTAATTCCCAGATGCGTCTTCAAATTACCCGTGTTGCGGACCCTCACACGTCATGTTACCTTCAGACATCAACGTCGATCGAATAAACACAGTTAGACGAGAGTTTGTGTGCTCAACAAGAACAGCGCGTCTTAACTTTTAACAATAACCGCAAATACAAAACAATCGAGGCGCGAAACAAGAAATAGCTTTACCTTATTACTTACTCCAAATGAACGATCCGCATAGTTGGCGCGGCAAAATTCGAGGTGCGATTCTACTCGTGAGAAAGCATACGAGGAATATGCTCAGAATTACTGGAATTGCTCTGTATTGTTGTAGAGATTGTATCAGATTATACCGAATTACTATTAATTATTGGCCGAGAATCATGCAAAATTCACGAATGTGTACGCGGCAGTAAATTGGCGAGTGCGTTTTCTGTGTTGCGCGGAGCGCATAAAATTAAAGTAGAATTTCACCGCGGATTTCGCGGTGAATTATAGATCGGCCGAGTGGCGGACTATAGTCAGTCCTTTCTCACGGCAAACACAGCAAAAGCCCGAAACGAGGCTCGCCCGACAATATTTTGCGCGATTAGAGATCAACGGCCGTTTGCACAGTAGTGGAAACAGGCTCTCGGCACGGCGGCAGTGGATGACGGCGTGTCGAGTCAGACACGTCGCTACCGCACGTTCAGTGGAACGAGATATACGCGATAGTTAAATAGCTTGCTAACCGCTTTGCGTGATAACGGATAAACGCTCGGAAAGAGTTTAATTGCAAACATATAAACCCGGCCGAGTATATACATTCATCCGCGGTGGCGGCGGCGGAGTCGCCCGCGTGTTTTGTTTCGTTTAATATACTTTTCAAATACTTGATGCACGAATCGCAATGGCCGCTGGGAGATCTATACGATCCGAAAGGACGGGCATAATTGCCCCGCCACAACACCGCGAAAACCCAGAGTCGCGGGCGCTGTTCGAAGCGAATTTCGATCGTGTGGCGTCACGCTGTTGTAAACAACGAATATCGCCGCGACCGGACACGGTGTTTAGGGTCACCAGGAAATTCGCGGGTACGGAGAACACCGCTTCGAAATCGATATATGATAGCCTGTCCGTCGAAAAACGGGCCGGCGCATCGGGGAGCCGTTGTAAGAATATACATCGATATCGAGCGCGCGCGAGAGGCGTGCTTACTTATTAAGTTCATCGTCGACACGCGAGCCCTCCGAAATCCTCTTACCCGTGACACGTACGCGCGTTAAGCACTCTGAATTAGCGTGGTACGTGCCGCTGCCATACTACCCTCAAGCGTCCCCAGCAGCGCCATATCGAGCATCTCGAAGAAGAAGAAAAGGAAGAGGCTTTCGCTTCCGGTAGCAAAATCGTCTCGCGCGCGCGAAACAACTGCTCGAGCAAGTGACAAAATGTGTACATACCTGGTCGGGCCGATCCAAGGTCAGGTCACTAGGCCGGTGCTGGCTTATCCTCGTCTCTTCGTGACTGCGTGCTGGCCGATGACTGGCACGTTGACGATGTATGGACGGCTGCGATCACCGCGACGATAGGAGCCGGGCGATGACACTACCCGATGACGCTACTACGCGCTCGTCCACGACGCTGGAGGGATGAGGGATGAAAGAGAGGGAGATACAGAGACCGACGCACGGGGATGAGCGGAGCGAGAGACTCGTCACCCTCACTCGGCGGGCTGATGAGCAATCGGGGCACGATCGACGCTCGCCAGCGAGCGCGAGGAGCTCGCGCAACGAGGCGTGGCGCGATGCCACTGTGATCGCGATCCCGAGGCGTAACCGTTGCCGTCCGCGTCAATCGTCGCGGTGTTCCGGAGCACCGAGCGTTCGCGAGGAACGCGGCCCGACCTAACCTCCCTGAGTTTCGCCGAACGACTGGCGGGCCGGAGCGGGCTCGCGCTCGCTCCGGCGCAGCGCGCACTCCGACTACCCCCTCCACTCGGCCACTTGCGACGGCGCGTGACATCTGTCGGCGTATTCACGCGGCTCCACCGCGCGACTCAACCGCGCATCCTCCGTGGCGCGCGAATTTCAAGCGCGCTTACGTTCAATGTACTCCGCACAGATGAATTCTCGCATCCTCCTTATTCATTGAAGACGCTTGCTCTTTACTACGAAGAAAAGTCTCTCGTCAAAGCCACTCTTTTGGGAATATCGTTCTGAGTTCTCTCTCATCGATAAAAATGTCTTCAAATGTGCTTATAAGTACATTTAAGTACCAAGTAAAAAGCTTTCTACAAACATTGTTCTTAATCAACTTTAATATAAGATTATCAAATTCTTAATCAAGACCTAAGTCCGAGATTTTAATCAAGTCTTTATCTGAATAGTTTAAACTCAGATTAAGGTTCAATCGAGATGTTGGTAAATACGAGATACGCGTTATAGAGATATTCTTATCGATGAAAGAGAGTTCAAAATAAAGTTATAATGGACGTTAAATATTTTCATTTCAAGTTCTACTTGCTTCCAGTTTGACGCGTGTTTTATGGATTAGTTTCGTTCATTTCACTTCCTCAAAAAGCTTGAAATAATTTCAAACAAATCCATAGAGGACGCCGTGTTAATCCAAAAGCTAGAGCAAATATTTCATCACATGAGAACTTAAAATATTATGCGAGTTCTCTTCATCTACGACCGTTACGTGCAACGTTGTTTCATCTTAAAAATCAGAAAGACACATTTAAGCTGTGCTCATTTTGGATGCTTCGTACCGAAAACATCATTCTATCTCTCTTCGACATATAATTGGCAATCGAGATAGAATGGCGCTGTCAACACGAAGTATCCATAACGAAGACTAGAATAAGTTTTACAGGTCAACGAAGTAAAGATATTTGAAGATACTTATCTTACCAAATAGCATAGATCTCCACAGAACATCCTAAAGACGTTCTGAGAACATCCCCAAGACATTCTCTGGAGATCTTGTGCTGTCTGGGTTTACTATTGGTCTGTTCTTTTCAACTGCACTGCTACACTGATGCAATAAGCTAAAGCGAAATGAAAATTTGTGTCCCACTCTAACTTATTGTACCAGTACAACAGTGCAGCTGAAAAAACAGACCTAATATATTGACTAGAAATGCCTACATTATTACGAAGCGATCAGTCTTCCGCCGCACGATGCCACGATCACGCGTGAATGTCCACGATATTGCGCGCCGCCAATCAACGTTCTCCTCGTCCGGATCGATCGGCCGAGGAGAGCGCGTAACAAGTTCTTACGCAAGTTCCCGCTTTCCAAAAGCGCCAACGGCGCGGGGCGACGCGTAGGTGCACTAACTACAGACACTTCCGAAGAGGGGAATGCGCGCTCGGTTATTCGCCCGGCGGCTTACTTGCGCACGTCGTCTTAGGTTTGGCGCGAAAGCGCGCGCCGCGCACGCGTACGCGCGCTCGTGCCCGCTCGACGGCCCAGCTGGCGCCAGCGGCGCGCTGGAAAACAGAAAGCCAAACCGGTCATGAGAGGCTAGTTGTACGACTGCACCGCGCTTGTGAATTCTGTTTTGTGGCGAAATACTGCGATATTACGCGGACGCCGCGCGAGAGCGACACGACGGGCAGCCGGTATCTCGAAAGATGGGAGCCTACTTGTCGGAGCCGATCACCAAGAAGATATCGTGCGACGAGGTGGGAAAGAACGTCGCGTACGGCGCGAGTTCCATGCAAGGCTGGCGTATCAGTCAGGAGGTAAGCGGGAAGTCGTGTCGCGACGACGGCGGCGGCGGCGGCGGTAACGGTAGCGGTGGCGGTCGCACGCGCGCCTTTATCGCATCATCAGCCAGCTTCGGCGAGTTCACCTCCCAACCCGCGCCGGCTACTTGTTCCACGCGTACGACCGGCTACCGCGTGGACGAGCACACTCTCGCCAATGCATCCCCAACGCCGAGCGTTGCGCCGCGGCCGCCGACGCCCGGACACGCGACAATTCACGCGCCGCGATGCTCGTCCGACTCGACTATTAACGAACATTTATTTACTAAGAAATAAGGTTCTTTTAAGTGCGTCTCCACGACGCATCCGACATCATGACACATTTGTCTTATCACAGATATTATTTTGACTAGCAATGCTGCTCAGATGTGTACGTGGTGCACATATGTGGCACACACATGAGGTCTGTTCTTTTTGGATGAACTAGTACTGCACTAGAACATTGCCCCTTTCCCATTCAATGCTGGGTTATATGCTCTTTTTACTCTAAATGCAAAAAGTGCAACTCAGTTTGACCAAAAAGAACAGGTCTATATACATCATGTATATTAGTATGTAATACACATGAATATATGTATAACTGTAAATGGTGCATTGTACCTTGTCTATATATGTTACAAATTATCAATATTCCATTGTTGAAACAAATTTTACATATGTAGCAATTGTAGTATCTTATCCCACAAAATCTACCATTGTTGCTAAAGTTAGGCGAATCACTCGCAGAACAATTTCATCCAACAATGAATAGATTTTCCTAATTTAAGAGCTTCCTTTATAGATCAAAAAGGAATTAATATTAAAAACAAATTCTTAATAACAATTATTTACTTGTAGGATGCACACAACTGCTGCATAAATTTCGATGACAATACTTCATTATTTGCTGTGTACGATGGTCACGGAGGGCACGAGGTAGCAACTTATTGCGCACGTAACCTACCTGAATTTATCAAGCAGACTGAAGCTTACAAGAGGGGCGATGTCGCGCAAGCTTTGATAGATGCCTTTCTGGGTTTCGATGCTACCCTTACGAAGCCAGAAGTAGTGAATATGCTCAAAGAGCTCGCAGGGACTGGATCAGAAAAAAATGAGGGTGACTTGAATGAATCTGGTGCGTTTTTCTCACTATTAGAGATATGCATTGTTACTGGTTATACCTTTGTAAAGACAGCTTGGCTAATCGTACAATTAACAAGCTCTAGTTTGTTTTCACCACTTAACTTTGCATATAAACTATTAATAAACTTGCCTTCGTACATTACGTTGCGTACAGATGAAGAGGAGAATGTTAGTAATCTGTGTATGGAGGCGACAATGCCATTGGAGCAAGTAATGGCGAAGTACCATCAGTCAGAGATCTCGAATTCTCATGTGAAAAATCTCAAGGGCGAGAAATGTGGTAAACGCGCGTGTTTCGCGAGCCCTTACCTACGTGGCCGGAGAGGACGCGAGAAAGCAGGTTGTTCGTCGTCTGGTGCAGGCTGTTCGTCTTCGCCCTCGTCTCTGTTACAACCACCACCACCACCACCACCACCACCACCACCACCACCACCACCACCACCATCATCACTGTCGCAGTCTTCATCCTCATCCGCTGCTGCCGCCACACCAAGCTTGGTTACAACTCCCTGGAATACAAATGAAACAGACGTGAGTAGTTCCAGTCAACCGTGTGGCTCCAGTCTGTCCAGCACGGTGGAGCAAAAGGAGACCGACTGTCCGGCGAGCAACGAGGCCGAGCAGGTGCTGGACTCAACGACGAGCAATGGCAATTCTCACGCGCCTACACCAGTGGGCTCTACTGCGGACGTGGAACCTTCCAAGTCTATGGATATGCCCGACAGTTCGGAGGACGTGAAGGAGGAGGTGTCGAGTCTCAGTAAGGCACCATGCACAGCGGAATCTAATGCGAACGATGCGGACGTCAATGGCGCGGAGACCAAGAGGATCGGGGACGCAGACAGTAGTAAAGGCGGCGGTGACAATGTATCGAGCAGCTCCTGCACACCCGTGGAGAACGGAGATGCCGGGCAGCAAGAGCGAATAACTAGCAGTGGACGGAGAAGAATCCAACCCATGGATCTTTACCAAAGTTTATTGAAAAAAGGCAACGACGATTCCGAGGAAGACGACGATGACGATGAAAATGACGAAACATTCGACGGCGTGCCTGAAAGGTAAGAGGAACGCGATGATTCAACGTCAAAATAAGCGTAATCTGTAGATTTGAACTGAGATTTCTCTCGAAATTCTGCAGTGACGATACGGAAGATATCGATGAGGATGAAAGCGACGAGGAAGATGACGAGATCGAGGGAGAAGAGATGGATGAAGACTCCGACGACGAGACCGATGACTTTATGGTGAACACGGAGAAAGTACAGTATTGATTTTCTGCTTTGCAAAACTTTTATCGAAACTCGTTTTCTACTTTCTGTATAAAAGGATGTGTCAGATACAACTCGTAAGATATATGCCCATTTTTCTTCATATAATGTCTTCTGCGTAGCCTGGCGCTGACAGCGGATGCACGGCGGTGGTGGCGATACTCAAGGGGAAGGAACTATACGTTGCCAACGCTGGGGATTCCCGCTGCGTCCTGTCTAGGGACGGCCAGGCTGTCGAACTCAGTCTAGACCATAAGCCCGAAGACGAGCCAGAAATGGAGCGTATAGTAAAAGCAGGCGGAGGGGTGACAAGTGACGGCCGAGTGAACGGCGGCCTCAATCTTTCTAGAGCGCTCGGCGATCATGCGTATAAGCAGAACATGGTATTGCCGCCACAGGAACAAATGATTTCCGCGCTGCCGGACGTAAGGCACGTGACGATCGACCCTGAACGAGATGAGTTTATGGTGCTCGCGTGCGACGGCATCTGGAACTTCATGTCCAGTCAAAGCGTTGTGCAATTCGTGCGCTCTCGTTTGTCGCAAAAGTACGAGAATCTTTCCAAGATCTGCGAAGAGGTACGCATTTCTACCCAAATTATCAAATCTCTAAACTAATTTACAAATTATGCTTTTCTGCATTTTCACGAGTTTTATCTTGCTTTGCTAATTCGAAATTCTCTTTTCTCTTAAACGAATTCTAGCACTATTGATTGGAATAATATTAATTACAAGTTCTATATACTGATTAAAAAACTTAAATTAAAGTTCTATATTAATGAGAAATGTAATGTTTGCCACAGTTGTTTGATCATTGCCTTGCACCGGATACTCTCGGCGATGGGACGGGCTGCGATAACATGACCGCCGTGATAGTTCAATTCAAATTGCCAGCGTCTGAGACCGCTAAGAGCGACACAGTTGCTGACGTGTGCGTCGCGAGGAAACGATCAGTCTCGCCAACCGCGCCCGCCGAAGAGAATAACGAGTGCGCCGCGGAAGAGAATGCAGTGAATCCGTGCAAACGCCCAAAAACCGAAGCAACTATGTGAAGCAAGAGTCACGCATCATCGACCGATAGCTGGACGAATAAGCGGACGAATAAATGTGAGTTTAAGTAAAATTACCTGCGCGTATTACTCGGCGCGAATCTTGAATGGACACACGACGGCACTTACATAGTAACAGGTGTGTGTGGAATAACGCTAATGTAAAGAGTTGTTAGTGCTGACCGTTGATGGCAGACTGATCGATTGGAGCACGTGGGGATGATATTAAGTCCCATTTTCGCAACGGACATGCAAGCCATTTTTTAATTATCTGTTAAACGATATTGTGTGTGTGTGAGACATTGCATATAGAATTTTGTTTCTTCTTCTCTAAGATCCACACATGCATATGTCCACTTATCGTCGTATGTACGAATGTGAAGTATGGTCGTCTGAAGAAGAGTTTTCAGTTACATTAAAGAAACATTCAACGTACGGACTAATACATTTATCGTGCGCATATTTAAATCAGCAATAATACTCTTTGATCCTGGTGGATTTCTGGATTACAAACAGTTTTTATTTTATGTCTGTTGTTTTATTTTTGTACCCTCCACCTCTTCGAAAGCATTTACAAGAATATATTTATGAGAATACATACGATAAATAATACGCGTACGATTTAATATAAATGTATAAATTTATACGATATAAATTTAAACGTATAAATTTATACGATTTAATATAAATGTATAAATTTCTCTTGTAGGATTTCACATACGTTGTAAAACTGTAGTTTCTATCTTTATTTTTAGTTTTACACATCATACGCTCACTCATTGATTGAAATGAGTTTTATACCAATGACGCAATGATACGAACTGACATAAGCAATAATATTAATTGAAGTTTATGCCGCTTGCTTTTTTTTACCTGTATTTAATTTCCATTATTCTACATGACCAATCCCTATCCTCTTGTGCTCCTCTTGCTCTTCTGTAAGTTTTATAGTATTTTCACATTGCAAAATATTAAACACTCTTTAAATCATGAGGACTGAACTCAGATAAAATTCAGATATCAATACGAGCAAAAAATAATGTTCTTATCTTTAATAAAAAGAGGACAATTAAATGAATTACGTTTATAATTATTAACTATTTTAGACGTAATAATTGTAATTATGTTTGTATCATTGTGTCATTTGTTTCAAACTATAATTTTTGTGAAAAAGTTATCATTATGCGTTAATCTCTTAATATTTCAATTTAATAATAATTAGGTCAATTTAATAATAATTAGGTCAACTATTTTATGTATCATCCCATTTGCTCCAGCTACACTTACAAAGAGTATATTTCTTGAGTTTTTAGATTACATACATAGTATATAAATGTACATATATTTATAAATGTAGACTATAGGATTTATATTTGTAATTCAATACAACACTATCTCTTATTTTTACGAAATAGAATTTATTTTTGAATCCCTGGGTATAGTGGTTGAATGGATGGGTGTGCGAGTAGTTTTAAGATGTTTAAACTATATTATACGAAGGCAACTGTGCGTATGACGCGTTACTAATTTGTGATTTTATATTATTGGCGACGTTAAAGGACGAAAGAAACGTGAAAAAAAGACACGCACTCTCAAGTGACAAGTCACATCAAATACCATCTATTTCGGAACGATCTAAATTTGTTCGGAAATTTGCGTATATGTCGAAAATATGTTTTTGTAAATTTATACATATTTGTATAGAGATACACACGCGCGCGCGCACACACACACATACAAACATACTATATATTCTTTTTCTCTCTTTGTAGTTCTTTGGGGAAACGGCAAAGGTATTTCGTATTGCGAAGAAATTTTGGCAAGATATTACAATATTTAGAGTATTTGGATATATAAGTGGAATACTTGTGGTGTTGCGAAGAGAGAGTCGCGGAATTCTTTCTATCATTGAAAACAAACGTGAAATATTTATAACATTATGAAACGAATGTAAGATACTTGTAGCGAACAAATGCAAAATATGAGCAGAGCATATTGTACCTGGAAGTAAGCCTATGTTTTACATAGCTGCTGAAAAACGATCAGTTTCTTTATAAGCGATCTCTTTTTGCAGTAATTAAATAAAAGATATCTGCTCTTAAATTTATATATTTATCTCTATTCGTGCAATATGCTCATTTGTATCTGCTCAATGTGAATACAAGCAAACTGGGAAAGCGTGTGTTAAAAACAAAGAAAATTTCCATGGAACTTTGGTCTAACGTGCTTACATACCGAATCAATGAATTAATGTTATTATCTGACGCTAATCGCGATACTTGTCTCGTTAAAATTCGATTTTACAAAATTGTGATAAACGCGCGCACACACACACACACACACACACACACACACACATAAACACACGATAAATAAACGTATAAACGGGAACTACGGAAAAAAATGTTACCTGTTTGCAAAGATACGTATGAAATAACATGAAATGTTATCACTCACGAAATCGACTTAAAAACGGTGAGTCGCGACCCAGTTTGGTTACCCTCGACATGTTTGCGATATTTGAGATTTTCTGCTATAATATATAGCTCTTTTCTCTCTCGATGCTCGCGTATAATCTCGCAGTGGTTATTAGACAGTAAAACTTTGTCGAAGGAATGACCTCTAGTTGAACGCATACGCGCAATCACGATATTTATGTAAATACCGTTTGCAAGGTGATCAGTAGCGTTTATCGATACTAGTGTGGTATCTAGTATCACTCGGAATGAACTGATGTGCCTTTCCAATTCAGGGGTTGACAACCTCCGCAACATATGTATGTACATTCGACTCCGTCTCACGAAGAAAGGTTTGCGCCCAAACACTGTCTTTAGCTGCAAACTTCGTCATACACTTATGTATAATATCTTGTTTCATAATATACATGTCGCTCGAATCGGTCTCTATGCTCACTCTTATTCTCACTTTCTCTCTTCTTTGTCGCTCAATTGTCCTCTCCTCCTAAAATCGCAAGGGCAGGGAAACTCATAAACCGATTATTTTGCTCAACATAGATATATATTCGATTCAATACATATAATATATATATAACGTGTGTACACGTATCATATTATATACATATATATATATATATATATATATATATATATATATATATATATATATATATATATATATATATATA